AAAATCAAATTTTGCGGTCGATTTAAAGAGCCTGGCCGCTCCTTTGAAACACCCAGTAGTGTGTATATATATATATATATATATATATATATATATTGGGAGTATTCACTGGCGGCCATATTCGTGTGCGCTGCTGCTGAGCGCGTGCTGATGGCGAGCTTCCGCAGTCCTTTTGGAGCGTGCATTTAGCACCATCAAGGTTGCCGGTCTTAGCAGCTTATTACTGTGAGCTCGTTCTGAGCTCACATTAAGCATCGCCCTCAAATATGGCGTCCAGTGAATACCTCCTATATATATATACGTATTCCAAAAGATATTTGTCCTTAAAGGGGTAGTGAAACGAAATTTTAGCGCCGATCTTGTTGCATAAATATGGGCTAGGGACAGGCACCACCTCGGAAATATAAATATTGCGTTGTAAAACACAGGAGAACTAATTTTAAACATAATTAAACGATTTCAAATTCTCATCTGGTGGATGGGGGGAAGTTCTCGTGACATCACTTGTGCCAAAATAGCAGCGCCGTTCTGCGGCAATACGGCGTGCCGGCAGAATTCGCCTAGGCCTGAACGCGTTTGCAAAGCCTTGGCGGAGAAAGCCAAAGCGTAGTTGGCCACAGTGAGCTCGTTCTCGTTGCGGCTCTTTGCACGACACGGCCCGAGCATGCTTCTGGCACGGCCGGTATTAGTTGCTGCGAGTCGCGAGCTGCAAGCCGACGTTAAAAAGGATATGTTTGAACCACGAGGGTGTCAGCAAGAGCCACGCAAATGCCAAATACCTGTTCACACTCGGAGCGGACACGCGCGTTTGATCGAAGTGCTGGATTCGCTCTGTTAGATCGCGTTTCGGTAAGCGCTTCTGGACCGATCTTTTACGATTGCAACTCGATACTGACATGACACTCGGCAAAGAAAGGTTAGACCGACATCGCGTAGCTCCCACGAACTGCTATAGCTCGACACTGACGTAGCGTCGAGTCAGAATAAAAATGGCATACTAATAACAGAGTGTACATACCGAGTTACCAAGGTAATCCGTATGGCGTTTATTTGAGCTCTATATCACACAAAACAAGGAGATAGAATCAATGAGAGTCCCTTTTCGACGACAGCGTTCGTCACCGCTGTCTCGGAAAACAAGGAGATCGAGATGACAAGGGGAAAATATTGACCTCTGAAATTTAGTTCAGGGATCAAACTACTCATCCGGTAAGGGTCCACAAGGGTCGCGCGGGCATATTCCATTCAGCAGGCCAGCCGGTCATGGACAGACGGTCTTGGCCAAGGACCGCCGGAGCAACGGTGCGCCGAGTCGATGTTGCTGCTAGGCCTACTATATTCTGCCGAGCTCGCTCGGTCGGCAGAATCGTGGCTGTTGTAGCTCTTCTCGTGTGTTTCTGGATCCTGCGTTCTTGATCGTCGTGGTCTGTTTTAAGTACTCCTTCCTTTTTTCTTGCTGGTTGAAGTCGGGACGCACGAGAAGAGCACAAAGAAAAATAAATGTCCGTTGGTGGCCGATACCAAGTAACTGAGCGACGCTGTCGGCCTTGTTGATTTGATCGTAAAAAGTGCGTAAGACAGCTTCGGAGCTGTCGTAGGATTCTGTCGTAACCTGCGCAAAGGTTACGACAATTTCGTTTCGAGAGCACGGGTTTTCTCTCAAATTTGTCGTACGCACTTTTTTCGTCGTGAATTCGCTTTGAGAATCCGGCCTCGGAGCTGGTTTTGTCAGTGCTGCCGTGGTTGCCGACTTGCCGTGGTCCCGTGGTGCAGCGTGCGTGCAGCCCTTGCACATCTCAAACGGCCACGTTGTCACAGGTCGTAAATCGTCGACGCGCCACCAAGTGGCAACGCTCGTAACCACAACATTCACGCCGTAGCCTTTCCCGACCGGCACAAGTGACGTCACGAATGCGCCCAATATCCCAAGACGCATCGCGCTCTCCGATGGCCGATTTTTGAGCGCGCGCCCAATCGGGCCCATCAGGGTGAAAAATATAGCCATCCGTTCAAAATACAAACGCGCGATTATGATTTATGAATATCATTGATCATATTGAACCTATTTCTGACCATAATAGGTGTATTTCAAGTTTCGCTTCAGTATCCCTTTAAGGAGATGGTCTTCCGAATCGAGGAGAGAGTCGCCAAAAAGTTGTGTACGGATACGTTTCGAGCCTGGTAGGCTCTTCGTCAGTCCAAACAAGAACATTTCGTTTTCCTTTTCTTTCAATCAAAGAAAAAACGGCCGCAAAGAAGAAGTAATTGGAAAAATGCTTACCGTTTAGCGGGTATCTACTCAACTAATTTCTCGCTTAAAAGTTTAAAATATCCCGATAAAAAAGCAGCAAATAATATTGAAGTAATTAAATATAATATTATTAACGCCATTAATATCACAAAACCAGTTTTTGGGACATGTGGTTGGACATAAGCCAATTATAGGGAGTATTCACTGGCGGCCATAGCTGTGTGCGCGAATGCTGAGCGCGTGCTGATGGCGAGTTTCCACAGTTCTTTTGCAACGTGCATTCCGCACCATCAAGGGTGCCGGCCTTAGCAGCCTATTGATGTGAGCTTGTTCTGAGCATGCGCTCTAAACAGCACCCACAAATATGGCGTCCAGTGAATACTCCCTATAGACGCTTTACACACGCGCCAAATTACAGCCGCCATTGCTGACCTTCTCTTGTCTTACCGAGGTGCCGAGCAACTGAAGCGGTAGTTGACGATCCTCTACAAAGGCCGATGCTTTAGAAAAGGACACAGTTGGATCTAATGTGGCAATAACCTGGCCTGCTATGGTAATGATGAAGTGAAATAAACGGAATAACAGGAAACAAAAACTGAAGGTCAGTTATGGCGGCGTCTATGCACAGCTGCTGCAAAGCGTCTATACACCAACTCATGTTTACAAACAAACCGGAGCGCCCCTAGCGGACGCCACCGGCGCCGCGTTTGCGCGGTGGGGGTGTGGGCATGAAGCTCGCCGTCGCCCATAAACAAACCATTGAAATGCGATGTTGTCGGCGTCGGTGTGAGTCCCCTTGCTCTTTTTCGCGTTTGAATTGTTGATTCTACGTCTTCCTGGGCGAAGTCTGACTACTTGAGCGGCGTCAGCGAAATTACCGAGGCTCGTTACTCCACGAAACTTCGCGTGAATAATGTGACATGTGGCGATTCATTCCAAGTGGACGCCGCAGTATGTACGCTAAAACATGATTCGCATGATGAGATTTCGCTCGCAATTTTCAGTCGCGACGCCGCTCGGGCTGCAAAAGCGTGAACCGTAGCTGAAATGGTCGACGTGGATACTGAAAATCGCAAGCAGAATCGGACCAAGTCAATTAGGCATAGCAAGTCAGTGAGGGTCACTGGTAACAATGATCAACCATCTCCTTGTATCTACTCGTTACATCCAGCCTGCTTACGAACCTTCCAACTTTAGTCTTTTGAGGCCTGCACTCACTTCTTATAGCAAGTACCGGGCCAGCATTTGGTCTACGGGCCGGCGTCGTCTAAGGGAGCAGACGACAAGCAGAAACGTTTGAAAGAGCAGACGACAGTTCGAACGATCAGGCGGCCGTTTGAACTTGAAGACGCACTGAACGTGGTCCGCAGGTGGTCTGCGCCACTTGATGGTTTTCTGGCGTTCATGTTGGAACAAAACAAATAAATCTGATGACCACAAGTATCCGTGAATTCAACCCAAAGTGCTTCCCACCCAAGCAGTCGTTGTCCGACGGCGTCTGCTTTTCCCTTTTCACGGCACATATCCAGATTCTCGGTCGGACCGAGCACGTGAAAACTGACCTTCAAACCTTTTTCGACTCTTTTGGTACGGCTCCAGTCCCGGCGTTTTGACGGGGAGGCAGGTTTTTGTCTGGTTCCTTTCGAAACAACGCAAGAATACGCGTCTGGCATGGGGACTTCTGCCCACAGCCCCAGACCGGAAGTGCGACCGACGCGCCACCACCGCGCCGTGACGTCACAAAGTTGAGTTGGTGTATACCTGGTGTCATGTGAAGCATTTGCTCGTGTCACATTAAACGATGAAGCGAGAAAAAAAAAAGCAACAGTGCGGCCTTAACAGTTCAAAAGGCAGTGACCCTTCGGTTCTAAAGTATAAAATTTATACATAAATTCAGATTCTTTATTTTTTTCGATCTCTGGTGGTTCGAAAGCCCCCCTGGAGTATAATTAAATTAAAATCAGAAAGTCCGTTATGTCCTGCGGAGTTTAAATGACGAGAAACTGGTCGGGCAACGTGTTTACGTATGTGACTTTTATGTAGATTCATGTGTTTTCTTATGCTTGATTTAGTTTCTCATATGTATTGAATTAGGCATTTTTTTACGTTGAGTCAAATAAATAACATTTTACGAATTACAGTCAAAGGTACCATTCATTTTCCAGTTAAAGTTATTTGCTGTGCTACGAATAGACTTAGCTATAATTATATCCACACATAAACTGCATTGGTTATTATTGCATTTTATGCAACCAAGATGGACCAGGCTACGTCCGATGGAGTTTCGGGACTGTCTAAAAAAATTAATAAATTACGTGGTCTCTTAAACGCTCTTAAACCAGGTGGTCGTGTCGTCTAAGAATATTGTTTATGTTTGGAAGTTTTGACTGGTAAGGTAAGATTAGTCGTAATTCATGGTTATTTCTTTTCGGTCGCTCTACTAAACACGCGTTCCGAGAGATCGCTCGACTTTTTGATATTGAATTATTTATTAACGGTGAGGGGTATCCACGGTTAATGAAATCCTCTCCTAGTGCTCTAGCTTTTATATCAAAATTCTTATCTTCTGAACATAAGCGTCTTAAGTCCAGCAAAGGGCGCCGGACGTATCTAACGTTACTGTCTTGGTCCTCAGGCAAATCAAGCTGGAATCATCTCATCCGAGCTGCGCTGTCATCGCAGCCGCACCAGAATTCCACAAGGGACGATGACAAGCTATCATCAACAACAGAGCAACACGCCATCGTAGGGCGGCAGCGGCCCATATAAGCCAGCAACAAGCGGGGAACAAGCGCAGTCCAGCGAAGGGCGCCGGACGTATCTAACGTTACTGTCTTGGTCCTCAGGCAAATCAAGCTGGAATCATCTCATCCGAGCTGCGCTGTCATCGCAGCCGCACCAGAATTCCACAAACGACGATGACAAGCTATCATCAACAACAGAGCAACACGCCATCGTAGGGCGGCAACGGTTCATATAAGCCAGCAACAAGCGGGGAACAAGCGCAGTCTAGCGAAGGGCGCCGGACGTATCTAATGTTACTGTCTTGGTCCTCAGGTGGGTCCAAAAGCTTTTTTTTTTTTTTTTGTTCTTGGCCTACGTTCCGCTGGACTGCCTAGTTCCGCCTTGACTTGTACGGTTTTTGTACTGTGCTGAAACATGTCTGCCTCAGAAGAGCCTAAGGAATGCTTAGCCTGCTTGAAACAAATTGCACCAAAGAGCCAATCATTGCAATGTTACGAGTGTAAAAATTCTTACCACGTGGGTAATTGCGCAGGAGTAAACAAAACGAAACTCAAAAACATGGAGCACGCAGAGCTGTTGTCTTGGCAGTGCTTAACTTGTACAAGACATAAACAACGACAATCCGCGCAAAAAGGCGGTCAGGCAGCAGTATCACCTCAAAGAACTGTGGAACGAAATGAAGCAGCTATAGCAATACAGTTAGCAGAAACAAACCAGAAGCTGACGGAAGTACTAGCTAGAGTCGAAAACATTGAAAGAAAACTAAATCTACAACCTGTAAAACATGACACAATGATCCAAAAACTGGATAAACAAGAAAAGACTACCGAAACGATAGAGAGCACTACCATCATGCTCTCGAGCCAGTATAATGAATTAATAAAAAGGATAGATTCCTTGACACATGTCACCAACGACCTAAAAAAAAGAACAGGCCAGATCGAAAAACTTGCTGACGAAAGGGACGCAAGAATACAGGAGCTAGAATGGGCTGTGGAAAAGGCAGAACAGTACTCACGACGAAATAACATCGAAATCCACGGAATTGCTCAGTGATCAAGAAGATATTTCAATAATCGTAAAAAGTATAGCAGCAAAGCTCTCCTTATCTATACCGCAGCCTGAAAAGATTGAGTCAATGCACAGACTGAGGGCCAGGGAGGGTAAGATACCTCCTATTATCGTAAGATTCAATGACAGGTCAGAAAGAGACCAATGGATGACGAAGCGCACTGCACTAAAGAATGAGCGGGTCTATATTAATGAAAACCTCACGAAACTGCAACGATGGCTGTTTTGGAAAGCGAAAGAATGTGCGAGAGAAAGAGGGTACACATACGTCTGGATGAAAAACGGAAAAATATTGGTCAGGCAAAGGGAAGGGGCGGCTGCAATCCGTGTTGACAGTGAAAGTGATTTAAATAGACGACGATAACATGATGGCCTCTTTTGATACCTTTAACGACTGGGAGACTCAAACGGAATATATGATAGCGGATGAAGGAAATGGAAGTAGGATCCTTCAAGTTATTCATAATAATGTCCGAAGCCTGAAAAAACACTGGGATGAATTGAATGTTTACATAAGAGAGAGAGAGAGAGAGAGAGTCGGAAAAAGAAGAACAGAGAGGTTAACCTAGGTTGGAGTCCTGGTTGGCTACTCTGTTTTAGGGAGGGGGTAGTGGGGAGTTAAAATAGGAAGGAAAGGATAGGAAAACGTAGAATAAACATGTCGAAAAAAAAAAAAAAAGGAATAGTGACACGAGAGCACAAACTATAGATCACATTATGAATAAAGTACGTGTGTCCTTCAGAGGCAGAAGCTCAGCCGCGTTTCCTTTAGGAAACGCAGAAAAGCTTTTGTGGCCCTCGCTGCCTTCTGAGGGCTGTCCCAGGTTCCGAGCACTTTCATGACAGAAAACGGTCGGCTGTCAAGTTGCACCAACGTACTCTTGAGGTGTTCTCTTTCCGCGTCGTAGATTTTGCAGTCGCACAATAGGTGAGCAATGGTTTCATCACATTCACACGTTGGACAGTCCGATGTTCTGGCTTGCCCGATGCGGTGAAGGAAGGACTGTGTATAAGCGACACCGAGCCGGAGGTGATGTATGACTGCCTCTGTCCTCCGGGGAAGATCGCGTGGAAGTTGAAAGGTAAGATTTGGGTCCAACGCGTAGAGGGGAGCATAGTGGTAGGAGACATCGTGCCATAGATTTCTCCTTGCGCTGGCGGCGTTACGATTGATAAGGCATTTAATGTTATTCCGACAATACGGAATCGTAATAGTTGCATCTAGAGAATGGGCTGACTTCGCACCTGCGTCTGCAGCCTCGTTTCCAGGTAAACGACAATGACCTGGTATCCATTGAAACTTGACAGTGTGTCCTAGATCCAAACACTGCACAAGAAGGGTCATTATTTCGAAAACCACTTGGTCATTTTGACCGCGTCGCAAAAATGCTGATATTGCTTGGAGGGCCAGCTTGGAGTCAGAAAATATTGTCCACGAGTGGGACAATTGTGTCAAGATGATTTGAAGTGCTTGTTGAATTGCCACTAGCTCTGACATCGTAGATGAAGTTACGTGGCTTAGCTTGAATCGCACGGTTCTACAGTGACTTGGAATGACCACACAGCAAGTAGAACTATCAGAGGTACATGAGCCGTCGGTGTAGACATGTGTTCTCGAGAGATGGTTACCGTAAATATGGGACATTGTAACCTGTAAAATCACGACCATTGGCATATTTGATTTTTTCTTGATACCAGGAATATCAAGTTTGACATCTGGTTCCGGAAATCTCCACGGAGGCGTCGTGCAAACTGTGGCTTGTGTAAGATCTCCCGGCAAGTGTCGCCGTACCTGGGACAGCGCCTTGGAGTAGCTCGAGTTTGGACGTGCAGATTCCATGGTGGCGAGAGAGTGATCTTCATGCTGAGTTAAGTGTCTTAAATGAAGCCTTAGAGTTTCCTGCATGAGCAGGATGCTTATAGGAATGACGCGTGCTTCTGCTATAGTTCCAATTGTTGACGCACATGCTGGAAGCCCAAGGCAGGCTCGAAGAGCGCGCGCCTGAAGGCTTCGAAGTGTGCCTAAGTTTGTACGGCACATGCCGTTGATAACTGGAAGACTGTACCTAAGCAAACCAGTAAATAAAGCCTGATAGAGACGTAGCAACGCCCCCACTGACGCTCCCCACGTAGTGCCACTAATGAAGCGGGAGAGGTCAATGAAACTCACCAGCTTCCGTTTTAGGTAATTAATATGCGGGGTCCAAGTTAGTCCTTTATCAATATATACGCCAAGAAATATGTGACTTTTGACGTATGAAATTGTGTGCTTAAAAATGCGAAGTGGATAACGGTCCATGTTCCTTCGAGTGAATGCAATGGCAGCAGATTTGGCAGCGGAGATTTCAAGGCCACGGACGCAAAGGTATCTGTGAACTTTCTTTAAAGCTAATTGCACTCTGGCTTTAGCTTGTACGCGAGTGGAGCCAGAAGCCCATATACAGATATCGTCTGCGTATAAGGATACATTTACATTTGGTGGCAACGACTGCACGAGCCTGATAAGCGTGATATTAAATAGGGTTGGACTTAACACGCCTCCCTGGGGTACACCCCGAGAGATGAAATGGTTTGACGTGTCTCCATCTTGCGTGGTCATATAAATGGTGCGATCTGAGAGATAACTTTCGATCCACTTGTAAAGACGGCCTCCGATACCAACCTCCTGTAGCGCTTGAAAGATGGCATTATGAGTGACACGGTCAAACGCTCCTTTGATGTCGAGAAATGCCGCTATTGTGATCCTCCCTTGAGATCTTTCCTCTTCGACGTAGGTGACGAGATGAAGGACAGGATCCACGGAGCTTCTTCCTCGACGAAAACCATGCATATTTTTTGGATAAGCTCTTCGTTTTTCCAGATACCATTCTAAACGACGATTGATCATTTTCTCCATCAACTTGCCAACACAACTTGCCAGAGCAACAGGACGGTATGATGATAGAAGTAAGGGCGACTTGCCAGGCTTCAGTAATGGAACAATTCTTGCCCGTTTCCATGTGTTAGGTACTTCTCCATTTGTCCATAATTTGTTAAAATATTCCAGCAGCCAATTGCGAGCATCAGTCCCCATATGTGTTAAGAAAGCATATTTTATCCCATCTGGACCGGGACATGAGTTAGGTTTTATAGATACAAGAGCGGCATCTAGTTCGCCACGAGTGAAGACATCGTCCATGAATCCATCAACGGCTGATGGTGCTGCAGCGGTAGGGACAGGACGACTTTTCGGCACGGAAACACTCGACGTGAGAGATGCACAAAACTCGTTCGCAAGATCCTTTTGTGAACATGCCGCCGACAACGCAAGTGCTCGGAATGGGTGATATTGTTGAGGAGGAGACTTAAGGCCTCGAGCTATTTTCCAAATCGCGGAGAGTGGCTTGCGGGGATCAATATTTTCACAAAATCCCCTGTATTTACGTTGACCGAGCTTGTCAAAATGGCGGCTTATTTTTTTCTGCAGATTTCTTGCCGCGCGAATATCGTATTTTTCTTTAGTTCGTCGAGCACGCCTCTCCGCCTGTCGCCGGATGGCCCGAAGACGTTCGTACTCTGCGTCAATAGTTGTTCGCTTAAGTGGAAGGCTATGGCTATGGGTTGATGAGTGTGCAGAGTCAATGACAGCTTTTTCGAACTCAGAAAGGTCAGTCAGCGTATTGCATTTACCTCTCATTGACTGCTCAAACTCCCACCAATCAACTCGTTTGACAACATGACTCTTTTTGCCTGTGATGAATCCTTGTATAATTGTGTATGTGGGTATATGGTCACTGCCCCGAGTTTCAATATCTGTGAACCAAATAGCTTGAGACGCCAGAGCAAATGAGACAAATGTCAAATCCAGGCAACTGCTGCTGTCTGCACCCCGGAGGTATGTGGGACTTCCATCATTTAATAGGGATAAATGATGTGTATGTGCTATGTCAGCAAGGCACCTACCCCGAGGATTTGTGCGATGGCTGCCCCATATATAGTGGTGTGCGTTAAAATCGCCTGTAATTATATGTGGCGATGGGACTGTGTTCAGAATGTTCTCTAAGCGTGCTCTGTCGAACTTGGACTTTGGAGGTATATATGCTTCTATAATGGTGAATGAGCACGTACATTTTTCATCAGAAATTGTAGCACAAACATACTCATTGTCCGGGTGGGATGGAATAATATGTGCCACGTACGTAAGTTCTCTGCGAATGAAGAGAGTCACGCGACTTTCCCCATTAGTACGTAAGGAGTCAAAC